AGTGTTGAGCTTCACATTTCCTCTGTCAGCCTTGCCCAACCTGGTGCCCTTCAGATATATTAGACTACAGTTCCCAGCATTGCTGACCATTGACCATGTTGGCTAGGACTGAAGAGAGCTGAAGTTCAAAGCATCCAGAGGGCACCAAGGTGAAGAAGCCTGCTCTATGTGGTTCTTTTATAAGCTGGAGCTCAAAGCAGGCCGATTTGTAAATGTGGGTGCGTCATTCAAGAACTTGAAGTCACATGTCTATATGAGTGATATGGCTATTAAAAAGCATGGTATTTTAAGGTTATGTAATGTGATAGGAAAGTTGTAGCCTTGTTTGATCTTTGAGGTCTCGTTCTGAAAGCAATTAATCATTTGATGCCCACACTCATTGATGAAAATTTTGGCATGAACCAGTGCTGAAGCTCAGCTCAGGAACTGGTCTTTTTTCTGTGTCACAGATTATTTGTGAAGACAAGGGCACTTTTGGATATGTGCAAAGTGCAATATCACTCAAGAATCACAGTTAGTCCTCCTGCACCTTAGATGGGATGGCTTCCAGATTCTCAAGCAGGCTTCACCCCTGGGCCCTTTCAGAAATTAATGGCAGGAACTGTGCCCTCTGCCTCTCCAGAGTGAGGGCTACATTTTAAAATGATGCAGTGAGATCTCTGGCCATGCTTGCCTGATCTGATGTTTGGACAAGAAGAGCCTTTGAAGTTTTCCTCTTCCCTGAGCCAGCTCTCCCGCTCCATAAAGCCATTAGACTCGGGTGGTGCCAGTCCTATCTCTGCTCCATCTTGGCTGCTTCCCCATCGCCACTTACATACGCAGAGCTCCTGCCCTAAGGGTTGGAAACAGGGACGCGATTGCAAGTGAGCAGGGTTATTACATGGAGTCCTTTTGAAGAGGTTTATTTTTGGGAGGAGCTGCAGGGGAGCTGTTAGTCCTCTGCCACAGAGGCCAGGTCATTTCCGGGAAGGTTCTGCATGACAAAAGATGAAGGTTGCTCCCTTTGATCTGCCTTCTGTGGACCCTATGCTGCACACCTGCGGATGATCCACAGTCCCGCCAGACACCGGAAGAGGAGTAGAAGTGTCTCTGGGGCGCCCCCTGATGGGTTAGCACCAAATGGTCCTGGCCTGAGTTAAGTATGGGCTTCCACCTTAAAGAGGGTTGAACCCTGAAAAAAAGTATTTTAATATGGGATAGACACCTCTTAGCTTAATTTCACAGCTTTTTATAAATGTATGAGGCCATCTCATTCCTAATCAAACTTTTAGTCCATGTAATCCGAATCTGTTTTTTCTCTGGCAATGTCTTTACCATGACCTGCTTCCAGAGATCTTTCCAGCTGAGGCTTCCAGGAACCAAATTGACCCTCAAAGCATTCTGTGGGTGAGCTACAGCCCTTTCTCTTTCAAACACTGCAATGTAAGGATGTTTATTCAGAAGTAACTTCTGTTCAGTTCAAGGGTGCGATTTCAGTTCAGGGATTTACTCCTTAGTATTTATTTATTTAATGTGCAATCCTATACGTGTTTAAGACAAAAGAAACTTTTAGAGCTCCCAATGTTCCCAAAGTTGTAAGAATTTTTAAATGTCAAAACATGCATAGGACTGCACACTTAATTTACTAAGAGCCTTATAAAATAAATTTCTTCAAGTGTTTTACCATAATGATAAATATATAAATAAAATCAATAATATAAAACTAATGGATGTGCTCACACAGGATAAACTACATTGTGGCAACTATGCTTAATAAAACACTAAAATACTAAAACAAAATTTAAAAAAAAACTTCAGACATGTTTTAAAAGATTGTAAGAACAGGAAATTCTTTGCCTGGAGCTGGAAAGATAGTCTGGAGCTATGAGGCCACTACCGAATAGGCCCTCTGTCATGTTGACATCGTTTTAACTCAGCATAAGGGGACACTTAAAGGAGGGCTTCTGCTGATGCCCCTTATGGTATAGGCAGGTACCTATGGGAGGAGGTCTGCCATAGGATCTCAAGCCATGTAGAACTTTATACAGGCTTGAGCTGGCCCCAGTGTGTTTCAGCTGACTCCAAGCGGAAGGAAGGGTCAGTCTGCAAGGCTTGTTCATGCATGAAAATGATCATCCCTTGATGCTCCTGTCTGTGGAGTGATGAATTGGCACATGTGAACTGTCCTTGGTGTTATTTGAGAATAGGCAGAAGTACTGAGCATTGCTTGTTCCTTTGCAGGGTGCTTCCTTCCCCATCAGGTGGTTTTGCTTGCTGCTGGGGAGAGTCAGAGATCTAGACCTGTATTATTTTGAGGGCATAAAATAATTAATGCTATTGAGCTTATAGAAGCCCATGACCAGTGCTAAGGATGGGGCCACGGTCCAGTGTTGGAACACATGGATGCAAAGGGTCCCAGGTTATATCTCCAAGTAAGGCTGGGGAAAAAGTGGCCAGGAAGCTTTGGAAACTGTTGCCAGTCAGTGTCAACAATACTGGACTGGATGGACCATTGATCTGACTCAGTATCAAGCAGTTTTCTGTGTTCCTAAGATGCTGGGGATATATAGAGATAGATCGCTTGTGTTGTTCCTACTTTTTTGTGAAGTTAAATGTGTGCCTGCTGTTACTCCTACCTAAGCTGAGCTAATCCGACCAGATTTGCGTTGTCCGGCTCATAGCATAACAGAGCAACCATTGGTGACTGCGGCTTGTGGGTCCTTCAATATTTTTATGACCTGAATTTGGCGTATCCCTGCTTGGAAAGGATGTACTCTGGCCTGTGCTTTTTTGCCTGATGACTGTGACCCAGAAAGGACCCAGCACTACCAGCTTTTGTTCACCTAGGAATGCACAGATCTCCAACTTCCAGAAGAAGTAGCCATGCTAGTCTGCTGCAGAAAAAAACAACACAATGTCTTCTGGTACCTTAAAGATAAAGACTAATGGATTTATTGTAGCATACGCTTCCGCAGATTAGAGTCTGCTTCATCAGATGCATTCTGATGTGAATTCTATTCCACAAACGCTTACACTACCATAAATCTTTAATGTGCCAGAAGACTCTTCAGTTAGTATTATTTTTAGAAAACTTCAGATTCCTTTGAAAGGGCTTGAGACAATTTACTCAACTTTTGAGCACAACTTGTATGGTCCTCTTGCCAAGATGGCCTTTTCTTAACATATGCATGATATAACCCTCAAGACACACAATAAGGGATAGCAACACCAGCAGCATCAAATTGTTTTGCAACATTCAGAACAAAAGGATGTTCCTTTCAATATGGAACAAGCAGAAAATAAACCACGAAAGCCTGGTTAATTTTTAAACAGAGAGTGCATGTGTTCCTGGAAGTTATGTCACTGCCTTTTGCATTGAAAGACCTACCCTCTACTCTCAGCTGGTCCAGCAGAGTTGTAGGGAAAAAGACACTTTGCTGATACTCAGGCGGACTTTTCTCTTTATTATTATGAATTCTTGTCATCTTGATTTGGCTATCCTGACATTAAAATAGCTTCCACAGTTGAGCTTTTGCCACAAATTAAGTCCAGATAGTGGCGTATCTTTGAAAGGAAGTGAGCAAATTGTAGAAAGGAGATCTCTTTCCAGCTTCCCTCTCCTCCCTATGTGCTTTTGGGATGGAGTTGATGATTAGCCAGAAGAGGAACAGAGGACGTTTCCTGGCTCCCCTCTCCATTTCAGAGGATTGCTTTTCCTCCTCCTCCACTTCCTCTTACTTTATTTCCCTTTTCTCTGTTGGTGGCCATCTGGACTGCTCCAAATGACTGGCAGCATAATCCAGAGGTGTGGCACCACAAAGCATGTGAAGGCACGAGTGTTGCATCCGACTTTACACAACCCCTTTTTGCACCTCCGTTTCTGCTGGGACAACACTGCGAGGGAGCCTGAGGTGCTTCTGAATTGCAATGCTAATTAAATCGCTGCACCAAGCAACTGTTTGGGCATCTTTGTTCAATCAGACCAGCAGCTGACTGTAGGATTTAATCAGGGCCAGGGCTAACCCTGGAGTCTGTTTGAATTCGATGAGGTGGACCCTGTTCTTCAAAAGCTCATTTCATAATAAATGCATTCATCTTCAAGATGCCATAAGGCTCTTTGATGTTTTCAGTGCTGCCAGCAGCTCGTCTCTGTGATATGCATAGTAATCATGATCAGGGAACTTCCACGCAGATAGAGGGATTTGTGGGGATGCGATGGTACGGAATCTGCCCGATATATGCCCTCCTCAGGTTTTGGGACTGTGCTAACCAGGGTGCTGATTTCTGGAAGGCTCGGTGTTGGTGGCACACACACCAGTGGCTCCGAAACAGTGATGCCCGCTCCTGGTGCACTCCCCTTCCTGCCTAGGTCTGGTCGCTTAGAAAAAGAGCTCTCTGAAAGTGCCCTGAGCCACCAGCCGCAGGGATGCAGAACAAGTGGCAGTGAGTTATGTGTAACTCCAAAGCAGGCACAGCACGAGTGGAAGAAAGGCATGCTGTGTCGCTCGAAACTTGGCTTTGAGACCATGCAGAAAGGCTTTCGCACTTGGAGAAGCCCCCTTTTAACTTTCCCTTTGTCACCTCCTTTTGAATAATATCGGGTCGCCTTCCTAGCCGTACGCGCGCACAAGACACCTTTGCTTTGGTGCGCCCGTCATACTTTACGAACGATCGCACCGGCCCTTGATCGGAGTCTTCACTTTTCTCTCTCCCCGCTCACGTAAGAGCGAGTACCCAGAGCGCAAGAGCATGTGCAGTGTGAGTGGGTGTGAACCTGCTTTGTGGAGAAAGCCCTCCATCCACGCCCCCCCCCCCCAGCCTTACTGTCTCCCTTCCCGAGAGGCTCTTACGCGGTCACTGGATAGGAGGGCGAGGGGGCTTCCTCGGGCGAAGGGGAGGAGGGGGCGCGCGCGGCGAGCCCCTCCTCCCCTCCCTCCTCGCCGGACTGGAGCTGCCGCCGCCCCCTCCCCTCCCCTCCCCTCCCTCCCCTCAACTCTCTCCCCTCCCATGTTTTGCAGGGAGTCCTGATGAGTCCCAGCCAGGACGGGCAAAGGCGCGAGAGCGGCGGGAAGCGCACCATGCCAGGGACGCGGCTGCTGCTCAGCCTGGCTCTGCTCGGCGGCTGCACGCAGCTCCTGGCCGAGGCCAGCTCGTGGTGGTGAGTGACCCGGAGGGCTCTGACAGCCCGCCTGCCTTTTCCTTTGTCCTTTGCGGTGGGGGGGGGGGTTGGGGTAGGTTGAGGCACGAAGAAGACCCCTCCTCCCCGGAGGCAGAAAACGCACGTGGGGATTTCTCTGCGCGCTCGCGCGCTCCTCTCTCTCCGCCTTACTTTTTCAAGAACTCTGCGTTTTGTCGCTGAACGAAACCCAGAGCGCAGAGAGGGGAGAATGGGCCGAAACTCGCTTTCTAGAGAGGCTCCTGTGATAGCAGAGCTGAGGGAAAATCTTCATCACGGAAAGGTGCCTTCCCTCACTCCCCATGGAATAAATAGTGACTCGCCTTCCTCTCCCCGTTTTCCCTTCTCCGCTGCCACCCCTTTCCTCCCATCATGGTCTCCGAGGTCCCAGCGCATCCGCGATCCCGCACGCAGATCAGGTCCATTGGTAACCGACGGATCCTGCTTCCAAGTTAAAAGGGGCCTCACAGTTTATGGGTAACTTGCGTGGGAGGAAGCTCGTAGCTGCCGGATCAAAGCGGATGAAGACGGACCTGTCCCCTTCTGCGCTGCACCTGGCACTTTTAAACAGTTCGCGAAATCGTCAGCACAGACGGCTGCGCTTCCCAGAGCCCAGAAAGACGAGGGAGCGCTTGCCAGCATATCCTGATGGGACCCTGCATCCTGGCCCTGGGTGGGTGGGGGCTGGGTCTCTTCCAGGCAATTTGTAGGAAACGGTTGGCTCTCCTGGTATAATTAATCCCAGAAGAGCAGCTGTGTTAGCTTATGCAGTTGGTGGAGGAGGCTTCCCCCCCCCCCCCCCACGCCCCGCAAGACAACCCAGTTAGCCGCTTGGAATCCTCTCCCCAGTTAAGGAACTCTCAGCTTCTTTGGTGCTGACGGGTCTCTTTGGGCGTTATCCAGGCAGGATCTCCCCACTTCCAGATAGTCTGCGTTCCCATTAGAGACACAGCCTCAAAACTTGAAAAGCAGCTGGGAGAGGCAGGGCCAGAGAGAGACGGCCCCAGCTCAGACCTCCTGGCACCAGCTCCCTTCACCGGGCTTTTCTCGTTCCAGGTCCTTGGCTATGAACCCCATCCAGAGGCCTGAGATGTACATCATTGGAGCCCAGCCAGTTTGCAGCCAACTGCCAGGGCTGTCCCCAGGCCAGAGGAAGCTGTGCCAGCTGTACCAGGAGCACATGATGTACATCGGTGAGGGGGCCAAGAATGCCATCAAAGAGTGCCAGCACCAGTTCCGGCAGAGGCGGTGGAATTGCAGCACGGTAGACAACACATCTGTGTTTGGCAGGGTCATGAGCATAGGTACGTGAGGGGTCGGAGTGAGGAAGAGGAGTACTGACAGTGGCTCTGAGGATCAGGGGAGGGGTGCGTGGGTGTGGGAAGGTAGAAGGATCTGGAGCAGAGACTGCAAGAACTGGGGAAAGTAAAATAAAAATCAGATCAAAGCCATAATAAAATACATTCTGTACAAAAGACTTTTTGGGAAAGGAAGCCAGCACAAAGCAAGGGGAGCTGATTAGCTTCTAGGTGGCATTGGCGTGACAAAGGAAAGGAGGGGGAAAGTATTACTATTTTTGCCAAGAGGTGAGAAAGCTGCATGTAATATGCTGAAAACTTCATTCAGAGCTTGAACAAGTGGGAAACCATCAAAGGGGAGAAGAATGATAAGAATAAATATTTTCAAAGGATAATTAATTATTAATTATGTTTGCAATGCCAGATTTAAAAACAAGTCTGCCTATTCTTCCTTTACCCCAGTATCAAAGCATTATGGAGTTCTTCAACTTTGCTTTTAAGGAAATCTGTAAACAGTATGACATATATACTTGGAATTACAGTTCACCAACTTGTTGAATACAAAGGACAAATTGAACTGAAGCTGTGAGTCATTACAACTATCTGTAACCAACTCCTGGTCAATATGTCATTTCCTGGAAGTGTTAAAAGCTTTCTGATTAGGGAGTGTTTTGTTTGAAGTGACATAAACAATTGTATTGATAATGTTCTCTCTATTTGTAAGGAATTGTATAATTCCATTCTGCCTGATTAAGAGTTTTGTGTAATCCAGGCATTGACATGCTAGAATTTACTTTAGCAAGAAAGAAACATTCAACCAATCAGTATTTTCTACTACAGAATTCATTATAATAATGATACACTTTTTCTGCCCTGAAGTGGTAAACTTGTAAGAAAATTATTATTCATTTAATGCATTTCTTAGCTGCTTTTCAGCAGTGCAGTCTTCCAAAACTGTACTGTGGGAAGCGTCCCATTATAAGGTTTTATTGAATTGTTTGCTGTCTTGCCTGTTTTGTGACTCTCAGTGGCTTATTAGTAAATATTTAAAAGCGATTACTCACACAATTTAAAATTAAATGTGCCAGAGCTCAAACTGCATAGGAGACATATTATCTTGCATTCAGATTTCTGACTTCTCATTCTAGATGTGTAGGTGGAAGAGCAGATGCACTTTGCACATGTGCAGAGCTACTCTGCTGTTTGATGTTTTCTAGGGCTTAACCTGGCATTGAAAATTGTTTCTACAGTTAACTTCTGGCTGTAGCCTTGTATATTCAGTGTAAAAACTTACTGAGAAGAGGATCCTAGAATTTCCCTGGGTATCCATTTTTATCTGTCTTGAAGATAAACATGCATCTAGAATTCAGCAGGGCAGAAAGCAAGTTACATGGAGGAAGTTTCATGAGAAAGGTAGCATGCGGAGAAAAGGTGAAACCTGCAGACCACCTTGTCTCTCTGTGAAGAGTCTACCCTCAGTCATCTAAAACCTTTTATAGAATGCTTTAATGAAATCCCTCTTCTACTATAATCAGTCCTTAAAAGCTGAAGGGGACCATGAGGAAGACTGTTCTGGAGAAGAAAGTGTGAATCAAACTGGTAAGGTTTTGGAGTGGCAAGTTGGTTGGAGTTGTGTTCAAAAAATTCTGGAGGGTACCAGGTTGAGGAAGTCTGGGCTAATGGGCTGCCAATGAGTGTGATACCCACCAATTATGTGTGCAGCCAGCCCTTCCCTGAACTTCCTTCCTTTCAGGTTTTTTTCCTCTGCTGCTGGCATTATCAGTCTAGCCAGCAATTGCACTCTGCACAGGGGGCCTGCTCAGTTGAGAAATGCCACTTCTTTGCTTGCTTGCTTGCTTGCTTTTCTTTCTTTCTTTCTTTCTTTCTTTCTTTCTTTCTTTCTTTCTTT